CGGGCGCCGAAACTGCGCCGAGCTCTGCCCCGATCATTGGTCCAGGTCACGGCAGCCGCTGCTTTCAAATTCTGCTCGAGCTTCAAAAGGAAACAGGAAGCCCCAAAGCTCTGCACCAGAGGCTCTCGCGGCGCCCACGCGTTCGCCTCCCACCGCCAACCCCCCGGGAATGGCGTGTTCCCGGCCTCCGGAGGGAGCCGGGAGCATCCCGACCCCCAGCTCCTCGCGGGGATTTGCTGAAGCTGGTTTGCATCATTTTATTCACCTTTTTTTTTTTTTTTTGTCGGCTCACTCACCTTTTTTTCGTCTTGTTTGTGGCCAAGTGCATGTTCACCCTCCAGCTGCCGGGTTGACCCAGCAGCATCCCACCCCAAGTGCTTTGGAACGTGGGATGAACCCCACGGATCCATTCAGGAGAGCCAGAGGCTTTAGGACACCTGCGGCTTTCCCAGCTTTTCACCCCAAATCCAGCATTTGTGTTTTCTGCCCCTTTTTCCAGCTGAGATAAACCTGGGAGGCTCATTCCAGGGTTGGGGAAAGGGCTTGAGGAGGCAAAAAAAAAAATTTGTCCTGGGAAAAGTCAGGGGGAAATCCCATTCCCCAAGCCTGCAAGTGTTGGGTGGGGCTTGGAGCTACCTGGTCTGGTGGGAGGTGTCCCTGCCTATGGAACTGGATCATCTTTAAGGTCCCTTCCAACCCCAGCCAGTCTGGGATTCCGTTTCATTCCCTTTGGGGAGTGAGCACTTCATGCTTCCCCTTTCCCCAATTTAGAAGGAAGAAAACAACTTCTACAAGCTGCACCCACTTCCCAGGGGAAGGAACATCCAGGGTGACAGTGTGAGACCTCACAGTTCCTGTGGTTTTCCCTCTGTTCCTGCGTTTATTGAACTCACATACAGAAGGTGCCTGTGTGTTAAATTAAATTAATACAATTAAATTAATGGAACTTCTGAACAGCATAAAAAAAATGGGATGAGGGTTGGAACTTGTCACGGGCTCTGCTTCCTTTAGGACGTCTCAAGCAACTGGAAAACCTCAGTTAACACACATTAAACACATTCTCAGTAATAGTAATGCGGTTTGTAAAATTCTTCTACTTTTGTTCTCTTTTTAGTGACCCCTGGTTGTCTTCCTCTGTCCATCTGCAAAAGCCCTTGGCTCCCCTCCTCGAGGGTTTGGGACAAAAAAGGGAGAGAGCAGGACAACCCCCCCATGGAATGTGATTGAATTTGAAACCAGAAAAGGCAGGATCCAACCCCTTGGCTCTGGCTGAAGAATCACTCAACCTCTGGCTGCTTTTCTTGGAGGAATTCCACCTGTTTGACGACAAATTAAGCACCAGAACCAACACGGAACCAGCCCCGCTCCGAGTTCAGCGCTCCAGGGAAAGCAAGTTTTCCAAGCTGCCTCCACCCTCCAGGACCTCGTGGAAGCGGATTAAGATCCATCACAAGCACAGGGGTTACAAAAACAAGGACAAGGCACAGCTCCCAGCCGAGGTCCCCTCAGAATTCCCCACAAAAAAAAAAAAAAAAAAAAAAGACAGATTTGTAAACAACCCTTCGTTACAAAAGTAAATTTATTATGACCTCACTTTTATAATTTTTTTTTTTTTTTTCCACTCGTGGTAACAATTTATAAATAACTCCTGTCCGTCGCCACGGCTGGGGGTGAGTTTGGTGGTTGAGAAGGTACAAAATAAAGCGGGTTTGGGGTGGTCCTACAGCACCATGGCCTGGGGGTTCCCGAGGAGCAGCGGCGCGAGCCGGAGCAGCGCCCGCACCGGGATGTGCAGCCGCCTGAACTTCAACAGCAGCTCCGAGAAGCTCCCGCTCCCTAAAAAAAAAAAAACCATCCAAGACAAAGAAAATGAGGTAAAAGTGGGGTCAGATTTGCCCCAAACAGAGCTCTGCCCCAAATAGAGCAGAGCTCCCTTGGTGGAGCCTCCGGAGGCATTTTCCCAGAGATCCCAAGGTTGCAATGCTGGTTATAAGATCAATTTTTACATAAAAACTGTAAGAAATACCAAATTCCATCAGGGAGAAGAACACGAAGAGAACACCCAGAGGAGAGGTGTGTAGCAGGCATCTGACTGGAATCATCCAAACCCAGACACAGGAATGTGTATGCTCAGGGCTGTGGCCAGCACAGGACTCCTGGGATGGGCACTCCTTGGGAAGCCTCCAGCCCCAGATCCCTCTCCCCACGGAGGGGGTGACATTCCTGTCACGGCCCTAAGCAGGGCACAGAGCTCCCAAAGTTGCAGACCAGCTGAGTTTCCTCAGGAGAGCAGAGCACTGGTGTATCCCGGGCTGGGCTGAGGGAGGAAAAGCTGCCCAGTGAAAGGGGCCAGGATTTCCCTGGATCCCAGCTCCAGACTCACCTTCCAAGCCTCCAGCTGCCAGCTGGGCTGGTGTGGGCACAGAGTGGTAGATCAGGAAGCAGGCCAGCATGCTCAGCTGGGATTCCTCTGGGGGCTGCCCGCTCAGGTAGGAATGCAGGGACACATCCCCTCCAGCTGTGAGACACAAGGCACACCAGGGAAATTCAGGAAGCATTTCGTGGAGGAAACTGGGTTTCTGCAGAAAAATCTCCATCTCCCTACAGGAGGTGGGCTGGGGGCTTGCTGTTTTCCAACCTCCTTCCTTCTGCCATGGCCACCCTACACCCTGTTCCCTGCTGTGGCCACCCCTCCTAGAAAATTCTCCCAGTGTAGAATTAGGAAGGCATTTTCTCTGGAAATTGTGAACCAAACCTCCCACCGCTACAGGCAAACACAATTCCTCAGGGAATGGTTCCAACCAAACTGAAAAGAAGGTGGTTTATCCAAGTGCCTGCCTTTCCCTTGCCAACCTGGATCAGCAAGACAAGAACCAGGCGAGCAACCTGGTCTGGTGGGAGGTGTCCCTGCCTGCCCACGGCAGGGGATGGAATGAGAGGGTCTTTAGGGTCCCTTCCAACCCAAACCAGCCTGGAATTCCATGAAGAGCTGGATTGGAGAGCTCTCCTCCCTACCTTGCAGCCACTGATCCAGAGTGTTGTCTATAGTGCACTTCATCACGGGCAGGAACTCCGAGTTCATGAAGAGCCCTCGGTTGGGGTTCCTGCTCATCCTCTCCTGGTGGCTCCGGGAGCTGAAGAACTCCAGCACCAGCTTGATCTGCCACAGCTCGAACGTCTCCGACATCTCCCCCCTTTCCAACCTCCTCACGGCCTGGGAGAGGGGGAAACACAAGGTGAACACTCTGTCCCCCCCAAAAAGTGGCCCAAAGCGTTCCCTAAAGCAGAACTGTGAGCTGACTGCACCTGATCTATGGCGATGTACGTGGGCAGCATCTCGGGGTTCTCCTGGGTGACGCACTCGTAAAGGATGGAAGAGAAAAGGTCCAGGATTTCCTGTTTCTGATCAAGGACACGTGTCAGATGTGGTTTATTCAGGTTCCTACCCGTGTTTCCTTCCATTGAAGTTGCCCCACGTTGCTGACATCGCAGCAATCTGGGATGTCAGTGATGCCACACAGCTTGATTGTTAAGCTTGTGTTTTATTCCCTCCCTTAAGTCACCCTGTGCAAAGAAATTCCAAGCAAAACACCCAAACCCCTCCCTGACTTCCCCTAAATGCCTCAGGACACTTTGGATTTGTTAAACACATTCCTCAAGGAATGGGACACAAACCCCAATACCAAACCAACAAAAATTAGAGGGTCACCACCCCTTTACACCTTCGTGTTACAAAACATCCCATAGAATATTCCCTGTTCCTGCTGCTTGGAGGGCTGGACTCTGCTCCAGAGTTTAGTGAAGGTTTTCCCTACCTTTTATCCACGCCAGAAGTGTTGGTCCCCACCAACACACCCTACCTGGCCCATGTCCACAGTTGGTTTGCAGAAATAGTCGGCGAAGGAGAAGAGAGCGGGGTCAGAAGTGAAAGCAGAGATGGCTTCTGGCTGGGAAATAAAAAAAAAAAAAAAAAAAGAGATTAAAACACACCCTTAAAATGAACTTTTTTGGTTTGGTGCACAAAGGCAGCAGCAATCGATAACCAAACCTTCCAAAACACGAGTGAGAAGGTTGTAACCCACACCAAAGGTTGGAATTCGTGATCTAAGGGTTGGATTCCTGATCTAAAGGTTGGATTCCTGATCTGAAAGTTGGATTCCTGATCTGAAAGTTGGATTCCTGATCTGAAAGTTGGATTTGTGATCTAAAGGTTGGAATCCCTGATCTAAAAGTTGGAATCCATGATCTGAAGGTTGGATTCCTGATCTAAAGGTTCGATTCCATGATCTAAAGGTTGGACTCCCTGATCTAAAAGTTGGATTCGTGATCTAAAAGTTGGACTCCACAATCTAAAGGCTGGACTCCACAACCTTGGAGGTCTTTTCCAGCCTAAATGATTCCATGACCACGCCCATCATGGACAGAAGTATCCCTGGCAGGAGGCCATTCCAGGAGGGATACCTTGAAGGCCCGGGCTTCGGAGTTGCGGTGGGTGACGGTCTGTGCCAGGAGGCTGCGCCATCCCATGGGATCCTCCTTGTAGGAGAGCTGCCCAGCCCTGAGCTTCACGTACAGGATGCCACCCTTGGAGAGGATCGACCTGGAACAGCACAATGGGACTTGTTTAAATGGACACAGACAGGCAGCCTGGAGAGCAAACAGAGCTCCCACAGCTCCCAGGCAATAACATTCCCTTTCAGGCTTTGTCCTAATTATTTAAACCCTGCCCAGAGAAGCTGGGCATTCCTGCCAGTCCCATTCCTGCAAGTGTTCAGGGGCAGGTTGGATGTGATTCAGTTGTTCATTAATGGCTTTCAAACGAACTAAAAGAGCCCCGTGGCTGAGCAAAGGCGCAGCCGGTTTCCTTTACCACCCATGTTAAAGTGCAAAGCTGACACTGATTTCACCCCAAATCCTGTATTCCGGTAAAATCTCTGGTTCCCACAGCTGCCCAACACCTCCTGAGCGTGTCAAAAACACAGTGAGTGCTTTGCACCGCGAGCAAAATAGCATTTTCACAGAGCAGTAACAGCCCCAACAGTCTGGGAAACGTGACATCACAGCCACTCAAAACCAAACCAAAACCATGAGTGCGAAGCTGCTTTCTGGTGCTGCTCCATCCCGCTGCCCAATTTCTGTGGTTTTTACTATCAGGTTTTCCCCCTGCCCCCTGTTTTTTTTGCATGAATTATTCACATCAATAGGCGAAACCAACTACGCAGTTTCTTTCTTCAAACCCACCTCCCCCCCCTTAAAAAAAAAAAAAAAAGTGCTGCCAAATGCACAGCAGCAAGACCTGAGCAAAGCCAGGCTTCTTTCTAATCCGTGGGAGGGGTTAAAAAAAAAAAAAAAAACAACCCAAACATTCAGTAAAAATTACTACAAGCTCGTTATTCGGTGAAGCATTAAAAATACTTACTGGAGGTGATTGGTTCCCTTGCTCAAATCTATTAATAATTCCCAGTACCGTGGTCCCTTCACTCTGATCTGTCAACAGAAGCAGGTTTTTTTATTAAATAGAAACAGAAGCGTTAAATTAAGAGGGGCTTTGACAGTTTGTTGTTTTTTTTTCTGGGCCCTTTTTCTGCTGCTCAGCCAGAAAATTCAGGAGGAGGAGCTTTGTGTCTCCTCCAGTGAAATTTCTGGCACAGGGAACTCCCCTGTCCCATCAGATCTTGGAAGATCTTGGTCAAGACCAAAGAGAAGCACGTGGCTTAATTTAACTCCCTGGAGTCATTGCAACAGGACAGCATTGGGCAGGGAATCAAAAAATCCCTAAATCTCTGCTCCTGCACTCTCTGTGACACAAAAATGGGTGGTTTTCCATCAAAATGGAGAGTTCCTTTACCTGTTTCAGTAAGTGAAGCTCTGGAAGAAGCGTGGGTGCCATCAGCTCCTCGGTGGCCTCCGCATACCACTGGGTGCCCTTCAAAATGCCACAGGATTCCCAGGTTAGGAGAGCTCATTGTCATGGGAAAAGGGAAGAAAAAGGGCATCTTATGGGGAACAACTCCCCTGGCAGCAGTTTGGGGGGGTTTCTGTTCCCGAGCCCTGAGTAAATGCAGGACTCGGAACTCGGCACTGCCCTTCACGTCAGGAAACATGAACAAAGCCAATTTCCCACGGATGGATCAACACCCAGCCGTGGGCAAGTCTGAAATGGGAAAGTCTGGGAAGTAAAGTATGCTGTGAACGTGGAGAACTCTTTGCCAGAACCACCTGAAAATCCCAGGAACCCTTCCTTTGGTCCTTTCCCAAGCAGGTGGTTCCAGTCACCCCTGTGCCTTTGGAAGTCCTTCTTTAAAGGGAGGAGAACCTGGGTCAGCCATGACACCCCCTGACTCTTTGAAGACACTGTGGTGACTTCTCTTCTGCCCTCCAGCTGCCATCAAAGCACATGTGAGGTGGGAGTGGGTTGAGCCCAACCCTTCCATTATTTGCAGGGAATCCGGCTCGCCTTTACCACAGCTTGAAACAACCTAACCCTGGAGGCCACACCGATGAAAACTGGGGTAAATCCCAGTGTCCAGGCATCTCCCTCGCCTTCCTCAAGGCCTCCCAGCCACGTTACCTTGTAGGTCACCTCTATGAGGGCATAGCAAGGAGTGTTGGAATCCACGTCCACGGGAGTGAGGAGCCTCGGCTCTGCCGCCAGCACGTACAGGTGACGCAGGGCCTGGAGGTGGTACCTGGGGGTGGGAATCAGGAGCTCAGCACAGGCAGGGAATGACCCCCAAACACCAAACCACGCCTGGCTCCACAACCAAATCCAGCTGGTGGTGAAACTAAAGGGAAATGTGTGGCCACGGTTTACGTTTTCTAACACGTGTGGGTTAACTGACAGGCCGGGACTTAATGGATTGGAACTAGAAGAGATTAAGGGTCATATATGGAGAGATCTTGCAGGAAAATCTTTCCAGGTGGGAAGGTAAGTCACAGGGGCACAGCCTCAGGAAACCTGTTGGTGTTTCCTCTCTGATTAAGGATCACCACTTGTCACTCATTTCTTCTGTTCTCCACTTCCCTTTGGTGGAAAACCTCCAAAAATGTATTTACAGACCACTTAAGTAAAACCTCACAATCTGTCTTTTGTAAGGAGATGGTTTAGCTCAAGGAAACATGATCCCTAGGGAAATAGGAATCCCTAAGGATACGGGATCCCCAGCAAAGCCTTACCGGTTGTCCGTGCTGTGGACAGGGAAGTGAGGGTACAGGGCACAAAGGAGAGCAGCAATTGAAGAGTTTGAAGTGCTCAGTGAGTATCTGTAGGGAGAAAACAACATTATCTTTTAGGTTCCCTGCTAAAAAACACAGGAGTTCAAAACACTTTGGTGTCCCAGGGACGAGGAAAGGAGTTTATGAGTCAGAAACATTCCCGTGGCACTTCCTTTGTCACAGAAGATGTGTTCATGCATCAGTATGTAGGGAAAAAAACCCAGGAAAATGAAGGAAACTGGGAGAAGGGATGAGCCCTGCCTTTGGAAATGGCAAATCACCTTCCTCCTCCCAGGAAGAGGAGCCCCAGAGCCATGTGATGAGCCAGGTGGAAACCGTAGTTCATCTCTCCCCCCGTCTTCTTGTGCATGAAACGGCACAGCTGAAGGACCTGGAGGTTCCCGGAGCCGGCCATGACCATGGCCAGAGCCAGGAGCAGGACACTCAGGCACGTCTCCAGGTTATAGTGACCTGTCTGGGAGCAGAGCAGAGCTTTTATTACTCCTGTGGTCGTGCTGATCCGCTGCTTTCCACCTCAGAGCTTGGAAACCACAACCCACAGCCAAAGGGAGAAGCAGCGAAGCCCTTCAACATGACTCCCAGCCTGTAATTCCCATCCTATAATTAATGGGTGAAAGGGCTGGGTTTGTTTGCATCCAGGTTTTGCTGAGGGTTATCAAAGTGTGTCGCACAAAGCGAGAGGAAAACCAGGAAGGACTTACTATGGATGCTGTCGGAGCCGACAAACACTTCAGGAAATCTGTGGCGTATTTGTACTGGAAGGCAAAGAAACGCACCCTAAATACAGATCCTAAATGTAAATATAGATCCTAAGGAGAAAAGTGAAAGCTCTCTGGAGGTGGAAGGGGAAAACACAACCCCTCCCCTTACCAAGCACTGAAATGCTGCCAGGTTTTCCGAGCCGGCGAAGCGAAATCCCAGGGATAAACAGGCTCCGGCGATGATGTAGACGTGGGCTTGCCTAAGGAACAACACAAACAGGAAATGACCACACACCCCTCTCTTCTCCTCCTCGGAATACGGGCCACAGACTCCTCCATCAGTAAAAAATAAAAAGGCTTTTTTTTTTTTTTGCAGGAAAAGAATTAGGCTGCAGGTTTGGGTTTTTTTTTGGATGTTACTCACGCCAGCGTTTCCAAGCTCAGGTCTTCGGAGGAAGGCAGCTCCGTGGCGTGAAGGGAGATAATGTTCTCCCTTATGATCTGTAAAAAAGCATAAGGGGAAAAAAATTCATCCTGGGAAAACCTATTTTTAATTGAAATTCTGGCCCATCGAAGTGATATAAAACAAATCCGCGGCACAGGTACGTAAAAGCTGTTGGGTTTTTCTTCCCAGGTCAGCACCCTGTATTTCTCAGAGGTATTGATCTAATTTGGTCTTAAAAATTCCATTCAATATCTTGGAATATCACTGATCTCACTGTTGAGAAGTTACTCCTAATGCAGCTGTTTTGCACTCGGCTTCTTTCCTGGGCAATGTGGGGAAAAGTTTAATCCCTTCCTTTCCCTGACATCACTTTCTGTCCTGAACAGTCACATCCCTCCTCAATCCCCTTCTTTCCAGTCCCCAGTACTCCCAAAACACTCCAGGGATCCAATGGCACCTCTGTTAATGCACATTTCCTTGTGCACCTCACGTGGCCACGGAGTTGTTCCCATCCGGAACAACCCTGGGAAGGTGGAAAACTGGGAAGCAAAAGACCCCAAACATAAACAAACACCTACTTGAGGCACGTTGCTGTTGACCCACTTGGAGTTGGGCAGGATGTCATCCCACAAAATCAGGCACCGAGCCAAGGTCTGAAAAAAGGGAGAAAGCCAAAACATAGGGAAGGAAAACCCCAACCACACAAACAACAATGGTATTTTTTCATGTCCTTACTCCATCCCAAAAAACAGACAATCCAGCTGCCTGTTCTCCACAGGTTTTTTTGTTTGGTTTTTTTTTAAATTTTTTATTATTCATATCAGAAATGAGAAAACAGCTTTTATTATAAGATGTGCAAATTCTGCTTCCAGAAAAAAGAAACCCCAGAAGAAATCCTTGCAAGGGCAAGATGAAAATTCCCTACGTACTTCTAACTCCATTTATCTGTAACATTGGGAAAAGCTATAGAAATGCACCCAAAAATTTAACATTGCACATAAAATGTGTCTTTCAAATATTTCTCCCTGAATTCTGTGCTGGATGACAAGGAAGCTGCCTTAGCACAAGGAGAAATTGCTGGAAGGGGTGAGCTGGGCTGGAGAGCAACAGGGGAGACCAGTGATCCCAGGGATTCTTGGTGATGGGAATAAGGGCTGGAATTAAAAAAACCCACCGGTTAAACGGACTGAGGAACGAAACCAAAGGAAATCTTACCCTCAGCAAAAGGAATTCTGGCTTTACAAAGTCCAACAGGTACATGGTGTCCGGGGCTTTGAGCCAGTCCGCGATGGATCTGCGGAGCACGGCGAAGGAACAGGTCACACCCCAGCAATTCCCAAAGGGCAGAGCCAACACCACAGCGGTTCAAAGAGCAGCAATCCCAAGGTCCATACCTGTTGTTGGTCTTCAGGTAGATCATGGCAAGCGCCAGGGTGGCACCGGGACACGTCACGTCCACGTTGATGGTGTCGCCTTCCTGTGGAAGCACAGGGAACACCTCCAGGTGGGAAGGGAATGACCCCAGCCGGGTGTGTGCGCTCCCAAAGTCACCCAGGGCTTGAGACACTGCTCAGGCTTCCACCAAAGTCAGCAGCACGCACCTTGATTTGGTAACTGGGAGACTTGTGCTTCTCCCGGTGCATTCCCGCCTGGAATCGCCGGTGGCCCCCGACCATGTACTGGTAGAGCTGCTCGGGAACGTTGAGGTCTGACATCCCTATCAGGTTACTGCCGTGCTGAGGAGCAGAGAGGAGAAGGAAAAACATGGGAGTGACTTCCTTGAGGAGAAAACCCCCTGCTCTTGGCCCACGGCAGCCGGGAGTCAGGGGTGAAACAGCTCCTACAATCCCATCCCAATGGATAACGAGCGTTCTGCTAATTGCAGTTGACTTACCCCGAGGCACACCATGCCCAGGGCCAGCCCAGATGCCAGGGAATAGGACTCCCTGTCGGTGCAATATTCCATCTCTGGCCCGGGGGGACGCCCTGGAGAAAACAAACCGGCAAAATCCATCTTTTAAAACTCCAGCTGAGCAAACAGTGGTTTAATTAAGAGCTACGTTCCTAATGAGAGGAGGGAAAAAATATCTGCCCCTTCTCAAGAAAGCCCTCAGTGGAATTCCAAGGAACTGGCACTTTATCTATCCATCCATCCCTAAATGGCAACCCCCTCCTAAATGTTGTGGCTGGAGTTCAGAGACATGGTGAGTATGCCAACGCTTTAAGATCCCTGGACTTGTCCAAATGCTGCTGCTAAAAGAGACTGCACATCCCTAATTACCAAAAGCATAACAATTGCACCCTTAAGATTCATCCCATTCCCTATTTAATAAACCACAGAGTCTCCCAGTAAAGCTCCATATAAAAACATGGATAAAGGCCGTTACAAATAAAAATCAGGACGTGCACAGAAGGAGGACGCAACTGAGATCCCAAATCTGCTGTTCAGAGCCAGACTGGTGGTTAAAAAAACCTTAAAATTCCAAGCAGGGGAACTCAGAACACCAAAATTCCCAGGTTTTCCCAGAGATGGGAAAACACCTGTCCCAGGGATCCGTTCGCACATCCCAACGGGCTATGCACGGGAAGGGCCCAGTGATGGAACTGCTGAAAATCTCTGAGCAGAAGTGAAGTTTCTTAATTTCAGGGAATCCCAGAATATTTAGGGTTGGAAGGGACCTCTGGAGATCACCCAGTCCAGAGCCACCTGGAGCAGGTGACACCAGAATGAGTCCAGGTAGGTTTGGATTCCACACCCTAATGAGTGTTTTACGCCGCTCAAACAGCTCACAGGAGCTCCTGCTCCCCTGAAAACAGGCCCACCAGGTTTGCAAAACCAGAGGCAGGAGGTACAAACCAATCCTTCCAAGCTCCCCGGTGCCCCTTCCCGGTGCTCATCCCGTTTTTCCCGATGCTGGAACCCACCTATCTCTGCCAGCAGCACCTCGGCCGTGTGCCTGTGGGCCGTGCCCTGGTAGACCAGGCCTATCCCGATGACAGCGGCCACCTGCACGTTGTGGGGCACGTCCAGCTCGGTGGAGGTGGGGGGCAGCAGGGCGGGGATGTGGATGCTCAGCAGGCGGGTGATGGCCATGTCCATGGTGCCCAGCTTGGCGGCGGACACGCCGAGCAGCAGCCCGATGCTGGTCATCTCGTGGCCCTGGGGGAGGGAACAGGGACGCCAGGAACCTTCAGAGATGGGAAAACGCCTGTCCCAGGGACCCACTCCCATATCCCAAAGGGCTGTGCACCGTGGGAAGGGCCTAGTGATGGAATTGCTGAAAATGGCTGAGTGGAAGTGAAGTTTCTTAATTTGAGGGAATCCCAGAATATTTAGGGTTGGAAGGGACCTCTGGAGATCACCCAGTCCACCCGGAGCAGGTGACACCGGAATGAGGCCAGGTAGGTTTGGATTCCACACCCTCCCTGGACAGCTGTCCCAGTGCTCTGCTCCCCCCATGGAAAGAAGTTCTTCCTCGTGTTGAGGAAGGGTCCTTCCAGCCCAAACCATCCTCAGTCCTGCACCACAACCACTAACATGCAGCCACTCTGCTATCCTCCCACAGCAGGAAAACTTCTACCCCAGTGGTTCAAGAGAAACCTGTTGGTTTTTCCTTCTCGTTCTGCTGGAAGGGCCCAAATCCCACAGGGATTTCTCCAGAAGGCCTCACCTTTGTCAAGTAGTCGTGGATGTTGAGCGTGGCCAGTTTGGTGAGGTGCCCATTGAGGCCCAGGGCCATGAGGAATCCTGCGTATTCGTTGGCCAGCTCTGCAATTTTGGGCTTGTTGTAGACGATCCAGGCGGAGTCTATCTGGGAAGCGGGAGCGATCTTCAGGCCGGCGGCCACCCCGTTGTGGAAGCTGGCCCAGCAAGCCATGTTGGGAGGCACATCGATATTCCCACTGTTCAGATCCACGGTGGTGTTCCTGGGAGGGGCACGGCCTGCCGAGGAGAGAGGGAGTTAACAGCAACCAGGAACATCCAAACCAGCCAAGGGAGGGAACGGCTCCGATCAGAGTCGCCCTCCGGTGCCTTCAGGAACGCCAGGACAGCACAGATCAAACAGCAACTTCCCAGGATCTCTGTCCTTTGTGGCTCCAGCACTAATTTTTTCACTTCCCTGTGTTTCTCAGAGTGCACCTGATGTCAGGTCTCAGTGTTTGGTAACAAAAAACACTGATTCAAACCCCAAGAGCTGCCACATCACAAAAATCACACTTCGGCCACGCAACTCTCTGCAGAAAAGCACAGGAGATGCTACAAAAATTCAGAAGTTCAGAAGGAAATGGGATAACCACTGAAAGAATCTCCAGCCATCTGTGAAACACTGGATTGGTCGGGAAGGAACCACTGACCCACGTACCGGTGAGGTTCAGCTTCGGGATGGGCAACTGCTCCGTTGGAACGGGGTGGTAGGAGAACAAGGTGAACATTCCTCGCCCCACTGGGAGTGCCATGGTTCGCTGGCACAGCTGTAACAACCTGGTGGGCACATGAAACCAAAGCCAAGTGCTCAGCACGGAGAACTTTTCCAATTACACAGCACAAAACAGACCTCCAGGCAACAGGCACGGGACAGAACCACTTTTTCCCCCCGAGTCTTCCCTCTTTCTTTTGACCCCACCCTCTGGTCTTCACAAGATTAATCTCAAAGACACATTTTACTGACACCTCGTTGAAACTTGCCACCAATTTGCCCTAAAGCTGCTTAAATCAACCTCTGCTGTGGACATTTCCCAGCCATATCAGAGGTGAGGTGACAGGAGAAAGCCAACCAGAGCTGGTGGGATCTTGCTATGACTGGTGTAAAACCCACGTAGAGAGTTCATAAGGTGCTTCCAAGAACCCTGACCACAGTTCTCTATGATTTACTCTGGAAACACTTTCTAGACTCGTCAGATTACTCAGCTTGGTAGCTCACACAATAATTTGATAAATTCCTACTCCTGTAGAAGGTTTTGCCTGCTAATTGTGTCCTGAAATTAGCTTTTTTTCTCTGTTTTCTTTTTAAAGAAGATACTTTTAACACCCCCAAAATTAGTGATTAAAAAAGCAGGATGGGGGACAATCACAAGGCCACTGGGCACAGGAGGTTTCAAAAGACAGAGGGATGGGACACTGAGTGTGTTTTGTGCAGAATTAACGAGGTCCCCTGAGCCAAGACCAGCCCTGAACAAAGTGTTCTCCAGCTTTAGGCAGGGGATGGATGATGTTTTCTTCTCCACAGAGCAGGTCCTGCTTATATATCACATCTTTTAGGTGGGAAAAAAAGTGCTACAAGCTGCTTTCAACCCCCAACTGATCCCAACTGTTTGGGTTTGAGACTCACTGTCTTTCCCATCTGCTGCTGATCCCAGGGGCCCTCCAACTCACACACAGCAGAGCTCTGATGTTCATGGAGCTCCAACGACCTGGATTATGAAATCCAACCCTTTTCTATGAGTCCTAATATTGCCCTGTTCAGATCCACTTAACTCTGAGCCACCGAAAACACCCAGACAATCTTTTCAGAGCCAAATTAATGAGAAACAGCTGGAAACAGAGAGAGTTCCAAGGCCAGGATCGACAGGGCTTGGAGCAACCTGGTCTGGTGGAAGTGGGATGGAACGAGATGAGCTTTAAGGTCCCTCCCAGCCCAAGGCATTCCACGATTCCACGCTCCTTTACCGGTTTTCCTTCTCCTCTATGTACTCGTGGTCGCTCGCTTCCGGCATCTGCACCACGTTGACCCGCACGGGCCGGGCGGTCTGGAGGAGCCTCCTCACCTCCTGCACCCTCAGATCCTCGCTCCAGATCAGGGACATCACCTCCTCGTTCATGTCGTTCATGCCGTCCTCGTCCTCCTCCGACTCGGCCGCGGAGGGGATGTCCGAGGACAGCACCGAGCCCATGGACTGCGAGGGAGAGGGGAAGGAAGGAAAGGGAAGGACATGATTCCAGGGCTGGAAATACCAGCACCACGGGCTGAACTCACCCCAGCACGACCACGAGATGGGTCTGTGAATACAAGGGACTGGTTTGTGCAGCATCCACACCACTTCTGGATTATGGAATCCAACCCTTTTCTCTGTGTCCTGCACTCAGGCTTAACTTAACGCTCAGTTCAGGCTCAAATTGATCAGGTCTACTTAACTTGGAGCCACCTCAAATACTCCCACAATCACGTGCTCCTTACAGGAATTCAAAGGCCAGGAGGATTTTTGACCATGGAAATCAAGTACTTTTGCCCATGGAAATGGGATAAAGAACTATCAGGAGAAGAGAAGGCGACACCTCAAATAGATCAAGGACCACCGGGTTGAGCTTGAGGAGGTGACATGGGACATAGTTCTCGTTCTTTCCAAACTCTTTCTTGTTTCAGAGCAACTGGAAAGAATTTTTCCCTCCACAATCAGCCCAGTTTGGGATTAGCCCAGTTTGGGACTAGCCCAGTTTGGGACTAGCCCAGTCAGATCTTCTGTTCTGCAGGTGCTGCCCAAGAAACCTGCATTATTTTTCTAATCGTGGATGTTTTCATCAATCAGAGCTTCCATCTGGATTCTCTCTGCAACAACCTTGGGAAAGCAGGTTACCTATTAAAACAAACAGCCTGCCCAGCAGAAAACTCCAAATATTTGTTGCTGTCAGCCAACCTGGGCTTCACCATCAGAGCTACATGACTAGAACAGCCCCAAAGTTGTTGGCAAACCCTCTTCCCACGCAAGATTTAAGAAATCCTCTCTTAAAACTCTGCTCTCCTGTTCCTTCTCATCACCCAAGTGATGCAGGGGACCAGAAAGAACGGCTGCCCGTGGCTCTCTGGGAACACATGACCCCCAGGAAGGCAAATAAATGTGGAGCAGATGAATGAAACCCAATTTCTTCTGATAAATACACAGTAAATCTCAATTCATAACTGCACCACCCAGCGTCCGTTCTGAAACAGGAAACTCCACCCTGCCCTCCCGAGAAATGACAAACAATTTGGGGTTTGAAGAGCACTTTGCCCTTTTAAGGCAACACCTATTCGAGGCATTGTTATAAAGTCAGTGATAAAATCAAATTTATCATCATTTTTGTGATCCGCGAGGGTTTCAGTTGGGCAGAACGTCACCAGCAGAAAACAAAAAGGGCTTTTAACGTGGGAGTTTGGACACGTGGTTAATTTACTTTTCTGCTAAATCAATGAGGTTTTTAATGTGAAATTATTAGTGAAGCCCTCTGTTATAAAAACTGGAATTATTTTAATATCCTTTCAAAGCCAAGACAGCAAAAAGGATCTCGCCCAAGATGTATTTGAGATTACAAATCCCTCTTCCTGACTTTGGGAAAAGTTATGGACAACCTGCTGGCCTGAAGTGGTTTTATGCCAGCTTTCAACAAGATTTTTGGCTTCCAATAAAAGACATTTAAACAAGACTAAATTCCCTGTGATCCTGATGGTTCCCACCTAAGAGGAGAAAATGCCGAAGAGAAAAACACCACACGCTTTTTTTTTATCGTTTTACCTCAGGATAAAAGTAACTAAAACTTGAAATATGGCAGGTGTATTTCCCAATCCAGTTCTTCCAGAGGAGAGGGAGATGCCAGACTGAGAAACACCCACTTCCTTCTCCCTCTGCCACGGTTTGATGGCAGAGCCTCTGGACAAAGCACCACAGGACGAGAGGAGGAGGAGGAATCAAACAGCTCTGGAGGCAAAAAATTTCCAGAGGGAAAAAAATTGTCTTGGTAAAACATTTTGGCAAAAATCTGTTTGGAGGCAATTTTTTTTTTGCCTGAATTAAGTTTAAAATGTGTTTTATATTGAGTTCCCACAGCTATTCCTGTGCTGGATCCTGGACTTTATATCGAAACCCTCGTGTGCGCAAACCCTCGATCTCGTTGCGATTCCACACCTTGGGATGCCCTGAAATTCCTGAACCGGCTGCTCTGCCCAAGCCCCGGGACTGTGAAACCCATTTGTGGCCCCACTCACGGATTTTCCCTTCTGCAGGTTCCCTTCACAGGCCTGTTTGGACAAATCCTGGCGCCCGATGAGGAGACAAACAGCTTCCGGCCAGTCCGAGGCCGGCTGCTCCCGGCAGTGGTAGATGGCATCCCTGATGGGAAGGGCCACTCCAAAGGGAAGAGATTCCAGGTCTCTCAATGTGAAACCTTAAAATTAAGGGGGAAAAGAAGCCAAACAGACTGTGTGATCAAAGCTGGAGCTAGTGTATCTCATGTTATGATGTTATTTTCATTCCGCTCTTACCGACACTTGTCATCCAAAGAACTAACTTTTCAGCCAGGCTGGAAACGGATGAGCTGTGCTTGAAACTGCACCTGGAAAACGGAGGAGAGTTAAGGAGGAGCCAATAAAGCTCGTCCAGGAGTCAGCAGAAAGCCAAGAACTCAACAAAACACCACTAAAACCCCTCGTACCGATTGTCATCCTGTTCCATCTGCTGCTTCCGTTGGCCTAGGAAAGACAAGGCTGCATTAATTCCATGTTTTTCCAAGCACAGCACAATCCTAGGATGGCATCAAGGCGTCCTTACCTGATGTGATCTTGTACAAGTAATGGGAGGCTTCGTTTGCCACGGCGCTCTCATCCCCAAGGATATAGAGAGCCACGCTCTGGACAGGGAAGAGACACCAAAACAGGTCATTTTGGGGGCTGGTATTGCTTTGCTTCCCAGCAGAACAGGCAGGAAATAACTGTAATACAACCTCCACAGCAGGGCAGGTTTATTGTCAGCAAAAGGAGATTGAAACAATTGAAACAAACAAGAAACTTTGAGGCTTTATATTTAAAGTTTGGGGAAAAAAAAGACATCCTGAATTTTCCCTAATAACTGCTGCAAAGGTGAAGAGATAAAACGTGTCCCCACTCATCCTTCTCGTCCTGCTCACATTTCATTTCTCTTGCAGAACACACACATTATTATAGACACTGTTTGGTTTCCTCCACATCTTGGATATTGTGGAGGCTCCAAGTGAAAAGTTGTTCCCACTCCAGCTTTCCAGCCAGCAAAATCCAAGGGATCAGCCCCCCATTTACTTTTTAATGCTTCCAGACAAGAGAAGCTGGGGAAAAAAATCACACTCAGAAAAAGATAATGTGGGGTTTTTTTGATGAAGACCTTCCAACTCTGAGCTCTGCACAGGCAGGTCAGGCACAGGAGGGAGAAAATAAGAGTCTCTTCTCCTTGTTTTTCTCCTCAGGATCAACACTTCAGCTTCCATGAGGGATATTTCCCTGCCAGCTGGAGCAAACCCTGCCCACAGAGCTGCTGTGCTGACAGAACAGAGCACACTGTGCCCCAGTACGTACCAGCACCACCAGTTTGCTCCGTTCACAGATCCCAGGTAAATAGGGATAAGGCTGAACTCCTTCTCCCTTCAGGCAGGAACTCAGCCACTGGAAGATACTTGGAGGCTCAGCAGAGAAAAAGGAGGGATGGAGCATGAAACCTGTTTGGACTTAACCACATGAACAGCAAGGTCAGTGAGTTCAGGGCAAAGGCACAGTAATTCCCCATTATTCCCAAAGGAAGCCCTACAGAACTTCCCTGAGTGACAAAACCCCAGCATTTCCCTCAGAACTTTACAGATTTCTCCCTCCTGCCATAGGGAACAGCCTTGGAAGTTAACAGCACTAAACTGAGCTACAACCTCTTTGCCTTCCTTGTCCACAAACCCGAGTAGCAAAGCCTGAGCAATTCCAGGAGATTTTTTTTTTTGGTAAGTTTTTTCTTACACAACCCCTAAAATCCAGCTGGCAGGACACCAAGCAGACACACAGACAAGGTGTGACCTGATTTTAATGTGAATTTTTTGTGGGTTTAGCTCTGATTTGGTTCTTCTGAACTCGAAACCGAGAGCCCACCAGCCCAGCAATACTTTCCACAAGAGAGGCACTTCTCACTACCAGGCTTTTCCCACAGGTAGAGATTTTCTCAGCCAGCCTGAGCTGGGACTTTGCCAAGATGAAACCAGCATTCATTGCTCTGTGGAGGCTCCCACGAAACACTGGAAGCACCAACTCATGGCTATAGTGGGCTAATTTCAGTCCAGAACCCCCAGGGGACCATCAAAACCAAAGGGAATATCCAAATATCACTGAATATCCTCCTGAACTCACCTTGGTCAATGATGCAGGTCTGTCTGGAGGTTTTGACCAGGGCTGGGTAATCTCTGTAGTAATAATCTATGTAAGCTTCCAGTTTTAAATCCCTGGAATGACAGAGAGGTGAGTCCCAGAGGGAGAGGAAAAAAAAAAAAAACAACAAACTCTCCACCTTCCTGGACGGGAATCCTTTGGGAGTAGGTGCTACTGGGGAAGGATCAGTCATAGGAAAAATAAAAGGTTTCAACATTCATCTTCTTTAGTACATGGGAAGTCTGTTCTAATCTGTGCAATTCCCAGATTTCCCATGTAGATAATGATGCACAGCCCTGTGGTTTTCCAGGTGGACATACCTGGCCAGCTGGACCAGGAGAACCACGAGGGAGCGGAGCCCTTCTCCCATCAGGCTGTTCAGCTTCAGCTCCTCGTAGATGAGGTGCAGGACAAAGAAAATGGCAGGAATGTGGCTGAAAAGGAGGGTGGAGGAGTCCAAACTAAGGCTCTGGGGAAAGTCATCCTTGGAAGGGGAAACTTCCAGGGGGTCCAGTCGCAAAGCTTTGGCAACGGGATGAGACTCGAAATTCCTATGGTAGTCAGAGCTCAAGAGATATTCCCAGTCCTAGAGCAAAGAAACAGGGAAGAGAGGCAGAGATTCCAGCAAAGTAACACCAAAGCACTGCTACAGAGGAGTTTTCTCCAAAAAAACGGATCCCAATGTGACTGTTGGATGGAAAAGGTGCTGCACAGGAGATTCAATGATTAAGGTTCATCCTTCCCATAAAAGAATCAAAGCCTTCGTTCCTTAGTCCATCCTAATTCCCTCTGGAAGTGAGAACCCTGACAAGCAGGGTCACATGATGCAGCTTTGGAAAACTTTTCTTTCCCCCAAATTTCCATCTCAGATGAAATTCCACATGCAGAGTGTGTTGCCTTTAAAAAAAGCCAACGCCAAACCCCACTGCCCCCTACTCGTAAGAGAGAACCTTTTCTTACCTCATCTGACCCTGTTTCTGAGGGCCTTGCCTTCTTTGGAGCAATGACTGGGGAAAGTGATCCTTCAAAATCGAGCTGCAAGAAATAAAAGGAGCAAAAACAGCTCAGCTGTGACACTCCCAAGATTTCCTAAGTGAATCACTGATCATAAAACCTGAATTCAAACCAAGCACAACATGACATAACTCGAGGTACTTCTAGACTTTGCTGGGAAAGAACCCATAGACACTGGAATTCAAAATCCTCTTTAGGAAACAACAATCTGAGCTGTGATCTGTGTTCAAAATGAGAGTAAATTTAATGTGGATTAGATGAACCAAATCTTTAATGCATTGGTGTTGGGTGTGAGCTGGAGTGTGCCAGCTAACAGGACAAGAGGCAATGGGCAGAAACTGAAGTTCTACCTGAACATGAGGAAGAACTTCTTTACTGTGCACTGGAACAGATTGTTCAGAGAGGTTGTGGAGTCTCCATCACTGGAGATTTCGAAGAACCATCTGGATACAATCCTGTGTAATGTGCTCCTGCTTGAGCAGAGAGGTTGGGCCTGATGACCCACTGTGGTCCCTTCCAACCTGACCCATTCTGTGATTCATCATTTATTTTTATAACCAACTGCCACGGTCAGACAAGCCCCTTATAAATCTACAGAGCACAACAGACCCGAAAATCAGAAACATTTCAGAATTGATTCCAGGGCACTTTGTGATTCAAGACAAGGCACAACCTCCAGCACCTCTCTTGAACCATTTGGAACCTTGAAGAGCTACCAGCAGCTTCAATGCCAACCAGAAGAACCTGCTCACATTCCGTGTCCAGGAGAGCCTCTCCGTGTTGTATCCCATCATGTTCATGAGGCACGTGACAAACAGGTTCCACTCGGAGTGGTAGCTGGGCCCTCCCGGGGCGTTGTAGGCGTTGTACCACTTGACCAGCACCTGCACAGCTGTCTCCTTGGGCAGGATGGCTTTGAGCCCCTGCAGGCACCTCCTCACTGCGGGAAAAGAGGGAAAATAACAAAGCAGCTGCATTTTCCTGGAATTTGTTCCGTCATGTATCAATCCTCTCACTGGACCTGCTTTTAACTCTCTAAGAACTCACAGTGAAAGCCACACGGCCTCCAACAGCTGTTCCTGTGCTGAGGTGGGGTACAAAACCAGGGGAAAATGTTCCTTTTTTTTTTTGCTCATTGCTGAACTGGCATCTCAGCTCTTCCCCAGGAATAAAACACACAATAGCAGAGAGCAAAGCTTTGGAGTCCTACCTAATTCCGAAGTGGCAATTTCGGGGATAGTGATCCGGACCATGGTGTTATTGCTGAGCTCCTGAAAAAAAAAAAAAAAAAATCAACAAAGGGAAGAGTTAAATTGGGAAATGCACCAAGTAAAGGCAGAGTCCTTTTCTACCAACTCAGAATCAGTTTTTGTGTTAAGATATTCCCAAATCCTGGCTGTTCGCTGCACTGAAGATCTGCAACCTCAGGTGCCAGCTCCGTGAAACTCTTGGAATGGAGCCTGAAATTATCTTGAAATAATCTCTGCTAACAAAGTGTGGCCTCGAATGACAGGAAAACACCTACTAGAGTTACTCTGTTGTGGACAGGATCTCTGAGAGCCTGAATGAAAGTCCCAAGCTGCTGGAAAGTACAGTCCTCGACGTAGGGCGAGTCGTGAAGTTTGGAAGAATCCCTTAGCTCTGGAACTGGTGACAAAAGCACACCCTGAAAAGTGGTAAAAATGACTGGGTTTATGGAAATCATAAATAAATAAACAGCACTAAACAGATCTTCTTTAAACACAGTTTAATCAGGGGATTTACAGAACGAGAAGAAAAGATTCAGCTCCAAGAGATTCCTTGAAAGTTAAAAGATCAACCAATCGTTTGAAGGTGTTACAACTAAATCCTTTCCAAGGAATATTTGCTTACTCCTTACCTCTTCCAGGGGCCCCAGGTGCTTATTCAAAGGCTTGGATGGAGTACTGACACTGTCCAAGGGAGTGCTTGGCCGAGGCATTTGGTTGGACATCGTCAGGGACGGAGCAGGAAGCCCGGGAATAAACACCTTCCCCACCTTTTTAGTGGGAAAAAAAAAAGAAATAGTTGATTTTTTTTTGCTGAAAATAAGCCCAAAAGATGATTTAATTATGCCACAAGGTGCCACTGATTTTACAGAACTCCCTTTCCAGCACTGCACACAAATTAGGGATGGGAAAACTGTGGCTCACCCGAACCACTCCAGAATAAAGCACCAGATTCCCACTGCCTTCCAGGACCAGGAGTGTGTCGATGCCCTGGAACAATCAAGCAGCACATTCAGCTTCTTATATTTAATTAGGGACACTCCAGTTGGGTGACAAGTGTCACAGCAGGACATTCCAAGGGGAGCAGTCCCCAGGGAGGGACGTACCTGCACCGGAGCCGCGTCCTTTGCTGGAATGTTGGTAACAGACCCAAAGATCAGCTGCGACTTATCATTGCTCTCTTGGAATTTTACACACCTAAGGATCAGGGAAAACAACAGGAAACACAAAAAGATTGTCCTGGGTGCTGTCACAGAAAGAAACCGCAGAATTTAAAACAGTGCAGTTAATTTTTTGTGGAATATCTGGTTCCTTTTCCCCTTGCTTTGCCCAAAAATAAGTCAGCTTGTTTTTACTTTTCTAGTCCAATTAAAAGCCCTGCTGTACTTCCAGCTGGTAATTCCCAGAGTGCTCCCCCTGCCCCCGAGGTCGGAATGCTCACCGCAGCTGGAGCTGGGATTCCACTAAAAAGCACAAGAACTTCTGCCCACAAAGGTCAGTGGAAATAAACACTTTGGATGCTTGGGAATTCTTCTCTCTGTCAAAAGAGACACAAGGACCAGTTTAGAACCTGCTTGGCTTTAGAGACCTCAGGAAACCAATCCAGAGGGCCTGGAATAACCAGGCAAAACTGCTCCAAGTGCCCATTTCTCTTTGGAAGGGAGCCAGGCACTTAGGGAGCATCATTTCCCCAAAAAAAATCAGGAAGTACAATCCACAAATCTACCCTAAGGAGGCTCCACCTGCAGAAACAAGCTGTGATTTCCCTTTATTCCCCATTTCCCGCCACGGGAATCCCTCCCATCCCAACACAAGCTCCTGACCTCATGTTTGTGACAGTCTCTGTCCACAGGTGGTCGATGCACAGCTCGGGAACGATGGGCTCTGTTTCTGGCACGAGGAAGGAGTCGTTGGAAGCGCTGTTTGGGGAGTGGGGGAGGCTGTGCCTCTTCGGGGACTGGGCACTGCTGGAAAAGTTGAACCTCTGCACTCCCGAGAAGGAATGGACTCCCAGGGCTGGGGAATGGGAGCGGCTGCAAGGGGAAGACACAGGACACGGCTGGAAAGAGGACCTTCAAAATCAGGGACAGGATCAAAAGACACAGGACGTGGCTGGAAAGTGGATTTTTACTATCAGGGGCAGAATCCCGGGGAGCTCACACCCTGACTTTGAAAAGCAACAAAATCCCACCCTAAACTAGTAACTAGTTTAATGTTAGATTCCTTTACCAACACACATCCCAGCACGTGAAACTATTTCTCCAATTAATTTCCAGTCATCCCTGCCAGAATCTAACAGATGAGATTTCAGGAGGAAGAAACCCAACTTTTTTCAATGCATGGTCCATTCCATGAAAAATCTCTCCCAACCTCTTCCCTCCAATTGTGGCTTTCTTTAGAAAAGTGACCCAAACCCACTCCTGGGACCTGCAGATATTCCCTGACTCCCTGACAGACCGGCTGTGTCGTGACAGAACAGCCTCCCTGGCTCCTGCACAGGATTATCCTGCTGTGCTGTCGGGATAATGGCACAGCAAGAGGATTCCAAGAGGGTTTTCAGGTGCTGCAACACAAGAGGCACCTGCACCTCGGAAGGACAGACTTCTAAGGGCAGAGAAAGACAAGCAGCAAACCCAGATGTGCGCGGAATTCCCTGGCTGCCATCCTTTGGGATGTGCTGTGCAGTGCCCACCTCAAGGCAGCCATGTTGGAGATGGTTGGGGAGCGGGACTGCAGGCTGGGAGAGGACCCGGATCTGCTCTGGCTGTGGATGGACGAGTAGTTCTGGAAAGGGGAGCCCCCAGGGGAGTCTCCTTTGGAGAAGCTTCGGAGGTGGGCGGTCAGGGAGCTGTTGGTGGCCGTGTGCTGGGGAGTGCCCACCTGCTCCGGGAACTTCAGCACCATGCTCTGCTCCTGGGGCACAAACCAACAGGCAGGAGGAGCTTTTTCCATCAGCTGGGTGTTAATTTCTGCCTAGGAAGGTGCTCAGCCTACAGAGTTATTCCTGCCAACGACACTCTCCCACTCCCACAGAAACTGCTCCAATGGTTTTCATAGAATCCCAGAGAGGTTTGGGTGGGAAGGGACCTTAAAGCCCATCCAGTCCAACCCCTGCCATGGGCAGGGACACCTTCCACTATCCCAGGTTGCTTCAAGCCCTGCCCAACCTGGCCTTGGATACTTCCAGGGATGGGGCAGCCACAGCTTCTCTGGGCAACCCCACCAGCCTCACAGTAATGAGTTTTCACGGCACTAAGTTACTTCCCACTAAGTTATTTCCCACTTTTCTTACAGAACACAACAGTTTGGAGTCCAAACCTTCCAATGTATGGAATAATATGTTAATTACTGCATGATCCATGACCATCACCATCATGTGACTTCCCTGGCTGTGCTCCAGGCAAACCCACGCAAGGAACTACTTGAAAAATAAAACAACCATCCCCAACAAACACCTTACTCTTATAAATCAAACAAATCACAAGTACCAGGGGCTTCTTACACCCAGGAAATGGAAATACACAGGGGTTTTTATAGTGATACTTAGTCCACGTGGGATTGGTACCTCTGGCTTCACCCTCCGGAGAGCCCAGACCGTGTGTAAGCTCTGCACAGTGTCGTAGGTCATCACAATGGAAGGGTCAGAGCTGAGGAACACGATCCTCAGGGTGTGGTCAGCCACGTACTGCACCCTGGAAGATCCAAACACACCTGGGAAACAGGAGTTAGCTCCGGTCAGGGCAGAAGGATTGTTTCTGTAACAGTATCACGAGCATTTTCCACACCCTCTTCCCTCCACCATCCGGGCTTTGTTCCTAACAGTTTCCCTGCCCATGAAGCAGCTTTAACTTGTCACTTGGAGGTGATTATTTCCATGTTTTTTAACACAGAAAATGCTCAAGGCACACGCTGAGATTTGATCCCACCCTGAGGGACTCCAGGGACACCCCTGAAGGTGCGAAAATACCTCCAGACTTCCAGACAAGAGGAGTGATCTCATCCAAGGGGTGCAGCATGCTGAACATCGTGGGCAAAGGCTCCCTAGGGAGAAACCAAACAGATCAGAGCCTGGAATCTGACAGCAGGGACATCTATTCCATTCCCAGAAGCTTGCTGGTTTAACTGAGCAGATTCGACCTTTTCAGGGCCTCTGTTCCTAATCCCAGCTGGGTACTACAGAATCTCAAGTGCCTGGGATGGACACATAAAACCCATACAGTCCAACTGCTTGCTCTGGGATCCACAGAGGGCTTCCACAGGGACTGGGATCCTGCAGCTGATAGAAAATGTCTCAATGACAACCCCTCAGTGAGTCTTCCCCAACCATCACAGCCTGGAATCAATTCCCAGGACGAACCTTAATGAAATCAGGCCGGTGACACCCATTTTGTGCCTCCCAGATCCTATTCCCACTCCCAAATAATTCTTAACACTCCATTTTGGGCGTTCTCACTCAGGATCGCTGGGATGGGATAAAAAGCCCGGAGGAATCACATCAACATCCCAGAATGGTTTGGGTTGGAAGGGACCTTAAAGATGATCCAGTTCCACTCCTTGCCATGGAGGGCAGGGACACCTTCCACTACCCCAGGTTGCTCCAAGCCCCATCCAGCCTTGAACACTTCCAGGGATGGAGCAGCCACCGCTTCCTCTTTTTTCACCTGATCCCACCTTTTCCCATCACAAACACACAGCTCCTTTCACAAGTCCACTCCTTATCAGATTATCCAACAGGAATAATTAGATTAATAATTAGATTATCTATCAGGAAACAACCCAGACCCCTCATCCCATACCTGGGTGGGCTTGGAGGCACCTCGTGGGAAGAACTGCTGCGCTCAAATAACAAACCATATTTTGTTGGCCAGACGTTTGCAACCTATAAAATAATGATGATAAATAGATTTATGGTGAAGAAAAAAAAAATCAAGTATTTTCTATATTGGTTATGTTTGAGGATTTTACAGCAAAATGAGATGTTTGGGTTTTTTCTTGAGAGCAGGAGAACATAAATCAGAGCCATTTATGAACCAAAAGGGTGCATTTGTGTGGACAAAAAGTAGGAGAGAACTCACCTGGAAAGGCAAAGCTGCAATGTAATCCTTCCCCTCCATGCTGTGCACGTTTATACAGGAATTCTGCAAAATGCAGATACACTTCTCTACTGTTTCCTCACTACCCGAAACTGGGAGGGGAAAGAAAGGAAAAAACAATTACACAGTGAAGTTCCTCCCTTTTTCAGACACCCCTCATACACAAGAAGTAAGCTTTTAACATAGCAAGGCTTGGTGAATGAGCTCCTGGAGCGTGTCTGGAGGAGGACAATGGAGCTGGGGAAGGGTCTGGGGGACAAGGAATCCCTGAGGGAGCTGGGGGGGCTCAGCCTGGAGAAAAGGAGGCTCAGGGGGGACCTTCTCACTCTCTCCAACTCCCTGATAGGAGGGTGGGGCCAGGTGAGGGTCGGGCTCTGCTCCCAGGGAACAAGGGACAGGTGAGAGGAAACGGCCTCAAGCTGTGCCAGGGGGGGTTTAGGTTGGATATTGGGAAAATTCCTCCCCAAAAGGGCTGTCCAGCCCTAGCACTGCTGCTGCCAGGGCAGTGGTGGAGTCCCCATCCCTGGAGGGGTTTAAAACCCACCTGGATGGGTTAGTGGTGGGCTTGGCAGTGCTGGGGGAACAGTAGGACTGGGTGACCTCGGAGGGCTTTTCCAACCCAAGCAATTCCACGATTCCAAGCATTTGCCCAGGACACTCACCATCAGCCTTTTCGGATTTTTCCTGGGGGACGGTGAAGTCGCACCACAGGGCCTGAAACCCAACGCAGAGACCAATTAATTAACCCCAAACGAGCCGACGCTCCCCACACGAGGTCGTCTTCCCGGTTATCTCCCAAAACAACCCCAACCAAAACACCACCTGGATTCACACTCAGCCTCCCTCTTCCCGGGTTCCCACACCTGCAGGACGGGGCTGTCGACGGTGAACGCCTTGTACACGGCGGACGCTTGGCTCCTGCTGCCCTTGCTCCAGATGACCACGTTGCTGGCCACGTACAGCTCCTCGTCGTAGTCCACCTCCTCCCCCACATCGCTGACGCCCTTCCTCAGCTGCCAGCTTTCCTGGAAAACGGGGGCTTGGTAAGGAGAAGCCGGCACGGGCTGCCGGGAGAGGCTGCGGATGCTCCATCCCTGGGAGTGTCCAAGGCCAGGCTGGATGGGGCTTGGAGCAACCTGGGCTGGAACTAGATGGGCTTTAAGGTCCCTGAAGCCCAAGCCAATCTGTGATTCCTGATAAGGGACAATCAGAATCCATTTAGAGTGATTTCTATGGAAGCCAAGGATATGAAAGGGAGGAACAGATAAGAGAGACCCTGTGTTGAGCCATGACATTCAGAGTGAATCCCCTTCTTTCCTAAACTCCTTCTCAGAGAGCAGCTGGGGTGTGGATAGATCCAATCTTAGGCTCGGTCTGCATCACAGAGGGTGTTCACCCGGAGAAGAGAAGGCTCCAGGGAGACCTTAGAGCCCCTTCCAGTGCCTAGAGGGGCTCCAGGAGAGATGGAGGGGGACGTGGGACAAGGGATGGAGGGACAGGCCAAGGGGGAATGGCTTCCCACTGCCAGAGGGCAGGGACAGATGGGATATCGGGAAGGAACTCTTCCCTATTCTGGCGGTGAAGCCCCGGCACAGGTTGCCCAGAGGAGCAGTGGCCGCCGCATCCCTCGGACGGGGCTCGGAGCCACGCGGTG